TTTTTTACAGAGAGGAAGGGAGAGGGATAGAGAGTTAGAAACATCGATGAGAGAGAAGCATCGATCAGCTGCCTCCTGCACACTCCCCACTGGGGATGTGCCCGCAACCAAGGTACATGCCCTTGACCAGAATCGAACCTGGGACCCTTGATTCCGCAGGCCGATGCTCTATCCACTGAGCCAAACCAGTTAGGGCAATTAATTCCCTTTTAATGTGCACAAATTTCATGCACCAGGCTACTAGTCTATATATATGTAAGCCTAAGTGACGGTTCAACTGGTAGCTATGACGCTCAATGCACAGGCATGGAAACATGGAACAGACTGATGAATCTCCGGGGGAGGGTAGGAAGCGAAGGTGGAAAGAGATTAACCAAAGATCTTATATGCATACTAGGGTCCCTCGGCCTGGCCTGCGAAGATTGGGCTGAAACTAGCAGTCTGACATCCCCCGAGGGGTCCTGGATTGCGAGAGGGCACAGGTCAGGCCGAGGGACCCCACCGGTGCACAATTCACCAGGCCTCTAGTATTCTAATAATTACCAGAGATATCTCCATATTTTAAATTGTTCAGTAAAAAAAGGTTACTTGTGCCCAAGCCATTTTTCTTCAGTAGTTAGATCTCGGTGGCCCAAGATCGAAGGGTAGTGGGTTTTGTATCTGGGTCAAGGGCACATACCTTGGTTGCAGGTTCCTCAGCCCCAATAGGAGCATGTGCAGAAGGTAACCAATTGATGTGTCTCTCTCGTGCCAAAGTGTCTGTCTATATGTCTCTCTCTTTCTCTCTCTCCCTCCTCCCTCCCTTCCACTCTCTAGAAATCAATGGAAAAAAATATCCTCAGGTGAGGATTTAAAAAAGTTACTTGCAATCTATCTCTTCACAGTATTCATGGACAATTACTTAAATGGTTTCATCTCACTTCTGCATCTAAATATATCTACATTATTAAGTACTATGGTATTATTCAACATAATTTAGATTTGGTAATATCCTTTAGGCTGAACAAAAATGGATGAATGGATGGATAGATAAACAGAATATTATAATGGCTGTGCCTCCTAAATATTTTCTGGTTTTTATGGATAGCAAGTTTCTCACAAAATGTTTCTAAATGTTTGTATTTGTGTTACTTTTGCTTTTAAATTCTTAGTTACCCATAGACTTCATACAATACTTAATCCAAATTTTTTGAACCACATTTTTACATATATGACTATAATATACACTAACTTACAACACACGTACCCAAAAGCCACATATTTTTTATCTAGATAGGGAGCTGATTGTAGCGTGATGTAGAACTGTGAACCATTGCTGTGACGGCCTTTGTTGACCATTCCAAGAACTCCCCTTTTATTATGAGGAACTGAAAAGCTTTCATCTAGAAAAGACAATAAACAGTAGGTCATTAAAATATTTCTATTATCACACGATCTCACTCATATGTGTAATATAATAAACAAAATAAACTCATGAACAAAATAGATCCAGAGACATAGAAGCATGGAACAGACTGGAATCTCAGGGGGAAGGCGGGGTGAGTTAGGTCACATGAACAGGCATGGACTTTCAATAAAGAGTAAAAGGAAGTTACGGAAAGGTAAAGGCTATGGTAGAAACTCAGAACCCTCTCAGTACACTGCCTGAGTCAGGAGTTCTGTCTGCCTCTGCCACTCACAGGAAGACAAGGAGTAGCCCTTACTGCTCTGTGGTTAGAACTGACATCATTTGTAACATATGATGTTAAGAGTGAAATGGAACTGCTTGTTTGAAATAGAAATCAGAATTCATGTGAAAAAATCAGTTTCTGAATTTATTTAAAATAAAGCTCATTCTGATACAGAGATCAGAAGGGAGAGAGTGTGAGAGCTGAATGGTGTGATCCATAAAAGACTAGGACAAAAAGGGAGAAATGGTGTGAAAGGGTTCTGAAATGTAAAGGTCAATTCAATTTCCAATAGAAACACCATAATTCAGAAAAATAAAGCTCATTCTGATACTTATAATGGAAGCAACTACTTTAAGTGTTGGAAACTGCATTGCACTCTCCGGTAAAAGTATAATCAGGCAGTTTGGGACATTTCCATACCATTTTCTGAGGACCGTTATGTCAAGTAGACTTTCTGACCTCAATCCTACAATATCAATTTTTAAAAACGATTGCTCTAATTTTACCATCAATATTTTAATGTTATTCACTAATTTCTTGTTATAGAAAAATAAATGAAGTGTGATGCCTAGCAAAATGGGTATTTTTTCTATTCATTTTTAGAGACCGTGGAAGGGAAGGAGGAAGAGAGGCAGTGAGGGATATGGAATTGTTTTTTATTTATAGAAGATGGAGTTATTGAGGATAGACAAATGGCAGTTTTTCTTGAAAAAGATGATGAGGGTTTGCTTCATAATTATTTTTAAATATACATTTATACCTTCTATACATAGGATAAATCTCACCAAAAAAAAAGTTCTTAAATAGCTACCCAGGTATCAGTTCTTTTTATTTAAAATGTTTTTTCTTGCCCTAACCGGTTTGGCTCGGTGGATAGAGCGTCGGCCTGCGGACTGAAGGGTCCCAGGTTCGATTCTGGTCAAGGGCATGTACCTTGGTTGTGGGCACATCCCCAGTAGGCGGTGTGCAGGAGGCAGCTGATCAATGTTTCTGTCTCATTGATGTTTCTAACTCTCTATCCCTCTCCCTTCCTCTCTGTAAAAAATCAATAAAATATATTTTTTTTAAAAAAATGTTTTTTCTTTATTGATTTTTTTGAGAGAGAGAGAGAGAGAGACTGACTCATCAATTTGTTGTTCCACTTATTTATGCATTTGTTGGTTGATTCTTGTATGTGCCCTGACCAGGGATCAAACCTGTAACCTTGGCATATCGGGACGACACTCTAACCACCTGACCTACCCAGCCAGGGCTTCTTCAGTTCTTGTTTCTAATAAAAAAAAATACTTTTGTAGCCATAGCTGGTTTTGCTCAGTGGATAAAGCATTGGTCTGCTGACCAAAGGGTCCTGGGTTCAATTCCAGTCAAGGGCACGTACCTTGGTTGCAGGCTCCTCCCCAGCCTGGATCCTGGTTGGGGCTCATACAGGAGGCAACCAATCAATGTGTTTCTCTCACATTGATGTTTCTCTCTGTCTTTCCCTCTCTCTTCCACTCTCCCTAAAAATCAATGGAAAAAATATCCGCAGGTAAGGATTAACAAAAACAAAAAAACCTTTTGTATAACTTTCAGTTGCATTATTGAGTAGAGTACATCAGGCTCTGTGCTTTTTATTAATGTCCAGTTTCATTTAAAGATCTTGAGATTAGACGAATAGATTTTTAAAAATTGGTTTTAGAGAGAAATACTGATTTGTAGTTCCACTTATTTATGCATTCATTGGTTGATTGTTGCATGTGCCCTGACCAGAAATTGAACCCTAAACCTTGGCGTACTGGGATGCTGCTCCAACCAACTGAGCTACCTGGCCAGGGTAGATAATTAGATTTTAAGTGATGTGTCTATTAGGGCCCAAGCTAATATTAAGAAACTCATCTATTTAATGTACCAAGGATAATTTAGTATTTATGCTTTTTTTTTGGCTTTTCATATAACTGACCATTTCTCTAGTCAGCCCAAGCCAATCTAGTCACCAATTCTTCAAGGGTGGGAAGGACTAGGATTATTATACAAAGAATAGAAGGAGAAAAAAAGGGTTACTATTCATCATCTAGGGTTTGGGAAGACAAAAAAGCAAAATTCAAAGCAAAACAGGTTTTCCTCAAGTTAAAAAAATATATATATTAGCCAATTTATAAAATAATCATCAAATTAAATGATATAATTTATTCATTCTTTTGAATTCACTGTGTTAAACTTAATAAAAGTAAGTTTTGTGGTTGTAGTGTTTTTTAACAAGCTCTGGGTTTTAATTCTGCATCTCACAGAAATAGGGCCCCATGAGAGAAATTTGGAGGACGGACTCTCAGTCCCATGCATTAACAATCCACAGGTGTGAAAGGAGGAAAACCCATGCTGTGGCTGTTCTGAGTACTCGTCATGGTCTCTCGCCCACAGTCATCTGGAGCATCCCTCTCTTCACTTGACTGGTTACTGGATTTCTAATTCTGCATTCCACACAAACAAAACAGTAACAGAAACTTCCCTAAACACACGGGGCCTCCCTGGGCACCAGAGGCCAGGCCTCCATCTGGAGACCAAATCCCCACAACTGTCTAAGGATGGAAACGAAAGATAATTAACAGAGCCACAGGGATGTCCAGAGGGCAGGTGAGCAGATGAGCTAAGACAGTGGTTGGCAAACCGTGCCTCCCGAGCCACATGCGGCTCTTTGGCCCCTTGAGTGTGGCTCTTCCACAAAATACCACGTGCGGGCGAGCACGAACACTGCGATTTAAACTTCGTGGCCCATGTGCAGAAGTCGGTTTTAGGCCTGGGCGAGTCTATTTTGAAGAAGTGGCGTTAGAAGAAGTGGGGGTGTTGGTCGGGCGGTCAGTTGGGCGAAGGGAGACTCGCGGTGCAGGCGGGCTGTGGGATACGCAGCATGCGCGCCCGGGGAGGTACATTGTTTTGAGGTACGTTCGCTGAGGTCGACCCCTTCCAACTCTTGCTTGGAGGCACAGTCTCAGACAACTCGGGCCTTCTGTCCAGGAAGAGACCCATCTCTTAGCTCAGTGGTCGGCGAACTCATTAGTCAACAGAGCCAAATATCAACAGTACAACGATTGAAATTTCTTTTGAGAGCCACATTTTTTAAACTTAAACTATATAGGTAGGTATATTGTTATTAACTTAATTAGGGTACTCCTAAGCTGGCCTTTGCTAAAAACGTCCTCTATCTGATTGAGGTACGTTCGCTGAGGTCGACCCCTTTCAACTCTCCCATCCACACTCCTCTATCTGAAACAAGTATACAAGACGAGTGTGGATGGGAGAGTTGGAAGGGGTCGACCTCAGCGAACGTACCTCAATCAGATAGAGGACGTTTTTAGCAAAGGCCAGCTTAGGAGTACCCTAATTAAGTTAATAACAATATACCTACCTATATAGTTTAAGTTTAAAAAATGTGGCTCTCAAAAGAAATTTCAATCGTTGTACTGTTGATATTTGGCTCTGTTGACTAATGAGTTCGCCGACCACTGAGCTAAGAGATGGGTCTCTTCCTGGACAGAAGGCCCGATTGTCTGAGACTGTGCCTCCAAGCAGAAAGAGTTTGGGTGATCTGATAACAGCTGTGGCAGGGAGTGGACGGGTGGATTCTCATCGGGTTAAGGATGCCAGGAAAGCTTCCAGGAACAACCGGTCTGCACTAAACTCATAAGCTGCTCTGGGCCACTGCCCCCACTCCCAGGCAGTTAGTTGTTCTTTCTTGTAGCACAGCACTTAGTTCTTCCTTTGGAATAAAAATCAGCACAGCACCTATAGTTTACCTGTTTAAGCATCTGTCATCACAGAAACACTACAATCCTGGAGGGTGGAAACTTGGTCATATCAGCTTTGTTTCCAAAGGCACTAGCACCACTGCAGGCACCAAACTACGAGTTTCCTGATTTATGAGTAAATAAATGAATGCTGTCACTTGCATGGTTTCATTTGATAAAGCTGTCTCACATGATTTTAAAAGGAAACTAGCTTTTACTTTTCCCTTACACTTTGGCCACTGATTCAATATTATTTTTTAAAACCTTTTCAGCCCAGCTGGTGTGGCTCAATGGTTGAGCATTGACCAATGAACCAGGAAGCCACAGTTCAATTCCCAAGCAGGGCACCTGCCCTGGTTGTGGGCTCGATCCCCAGTAGGGGGCGTTCAGGAGGCAGCCAATCAATGATTCTCTTATCATTGATGTTTGTATCTCTCTCTCCCTCTCCCTTCCTCTCTAAAATCAATAAATATATGTCTTTTTAAAAATTAAAAAATAAAACCTTTTCATTACATTAAAATACAGACACAAAAAAGCCACAGAAAATGAATATATAATTATTAATTATTATAAGGCAAACACCTTTTTAACCACCACTCAGGCCAAGAGAAAGAATTTTGCCAGCCTCCCCTGAAGTCCCTAATTAAGTCCCTCTCCACACCCTCAAAGTCACTATTCCCCTGACTTTTACATAATCAAGTACTTAATGTTTCCTTGTAGTTTTACCATCTAAGTGTGCATCCCTGAGTAGTATAGTTTAGTCATTCCCATTTTAAGACTTGTTATGCCTTTTAAATCTCTCTTAATCTACAGGTTCTGCCTCTATCCCTTTCTTTTCCTTACACTTTATCTGTTAATGAACCTAACTATTTAACCTCTAGAATTTCTCCCAGCCTGGAGCTTGCTCGTTGCACACACATGGTGCAGTTCAATATACTTATTTCTCTGTTCTCTGTCCTGTCAGTTTGGCTATATTACTTGGGTGGAAAATGCTTATTTGTTTCACCTTGATTGGTAAGTTAGGGAAGGAGTTGAGCATAATGAATTTTGCCCCACTCAAGTGCGGTTTCCTCCGGGTGTTTCGTAACCAAAACATATGTGTAACACTGTTTCTGTTTTTATTAGGTTACTGTCTTATTTTTTAATGTGTCACCGAGAACATTTTGTTTTTAATCTCATTTCTGCCATAAGTCCTGTGGTTTTTATTGCATGATTTTACATAGCACAGAGATCCTTAAGAACACATTACGGCAGAACTGGTCATATTTCTTGCAAATGGGCATCTGGATCCAGAAGCTCAATCAGACTCCTGTTCTATCCCTTTGGTGGTGTGTTCTCTCAACAGAAGGCTCATAATATCCTGTTGTCTATTCTGTTTTTGGGATGATAGCCGAGACTGATGCAGCAAATGCCTACATCCAAATGCCTACAATGGGGGCAGCAAAATGGTGATATTCTATTATTTCCTTTTCACTAATAATTGGAACACTTTTATGATAAGATGGTTCCCCTTGTCTACAGTTTAGTCTAGTTCTCATAGAAAAGGCAAGATAAATGGTTGATTCTTTCTCTATTGATCAGTGTTCAAAATAATGAATTCACTACCTATCATTCCAGAAGGGCAGGTGAGGAGATGAGCTGAGACATGTCTTCTATTGGACAGAAGGTTCAAATTCTAAGCAATTAGGCTTTATTTATAAAATAATATTATTATGAACTCATGGATTTAATATATGTGTTGGGTTTCAAATCATTGCAACTATTATTCAAATTACTCCATCTTTGGCCAGTGAGAACCTCTTCAAATGGGCTCCTGAGGCCTTTGACGTGATCCTAGTAAATCTTTAATAGCGTTCTTGCTCTCTGACGATAGCATGACTAAACATGAGGTTCCAGACTCATTTTGTAATGTCCTGTTCCGTAATTGGAACCTGCCATTTCTCCCAAAAGCCCGGGTTTCTTTAAGTGAGAAATGACATTTCAAAACAACAATCTAAATGCTAGGAATGTGTATCAGGACTGGATTGGTGGTTGTTTGTAGACCAATTAAGTAGACACAGCTATATACTAATATATAGATGAGATACTTCTTGAGTTTAAAGTGAAATTTCCAATTCAAATTCAGGACTATAGAATATTTTACTTATTAGCCTCTATCATATTTCATCTGCCCCCATCAGGCCATGTTTCGGGGGGGGGCAACCAATCAATGATTCTCTCTCACATGAATTTCTCTCTCTCTCTCTCTCTCTTTCTCTCTTAAATGAAAAACATGTCCTGGGGCGAGGATTAAAAAAAAATCCCATAAACCCAACTTCCTCCCTCTACCTTCTACTTCTTTTTTAAAAAAATATATTTTATTGATTTTTTTACAGAGAGGAAGGGAGAGGGATAGAGAGTCAGAAACATCGATGAGAGAGAAACATTGATCAGCTGCCTCCTGTACACCCCCTACTGGGGATGTGCCCACAACCAAGGTACATGCCCTTGACTGAAATCGAACCCAGGACCCTTCAGTCCGCAGGCTAACGCTCTATCCACTGAGCCAAACCAGTCAGGGCCCTTTTACTTCTTTAAGGTACATATCTGTTGTGTTTATTTGGTCTTATGTTCTGTCTAGTTTGTTTCTGAAATTCTTTTATTATTCTTTCCTCAGTTTAATAACCTCATGCTGAGTTTTCCTGATTCTGATTTATGAGTTCTTTTCTGTCTTGTATCATTTTATTAATGTTTTTTAGCTCATTTTGAAATTGTCAGTTTTGATCTTGTTGTGAGCATGTCTTTCTAGTGTGCTTTTATTATGTGTAGTGCTGTTACTCTATTCCTTATTCCCTTTTTTTCCTTCTAATAACCATGAAACTTTTTGCTGTTCATTTTTACGTAAAATTAGTTTTCCTAAACATTTAGAAGCAGGTGTGGCTTTAGAAGGAAAGAAGCTTTTCTAACTTCACAAACCTTTTTGTGCCGTTTTCAACTGCAGGTCAAGATATGCATCTTGCTTTCTGAGATTTCCTAACTGTGTTCCCATTCCCTCTTCCTCACTGCTGTCCCTATATCCCGCATAATTTTGATTCCATTCCCAGCAATACCTCCTCAATGTGAGCCTGTCCTAGAAGAGGGCCATTTCAGATCAGGTTCCAGAGTCACAGAGCCTAGACTGAACCTTACTACGAGCCCCCTGCACACACCAGCGACTGGCTATTTTGGGGTTCAGCTGTCCTCAGGTCCCTCAGATGCCCTGCTTTCTCCCACACAGATTTCTGGCTGTTGGCCGACAGTGGCTGTTGGCAGTCTGCCCTTCCCTGTTTGTACTTTGGAATTTATGTAACTTAGCTTATCAGTTTTGTTATAAATGTTATCCATGGGTTTTCAGTTTTTCTATCTAATTATTTTGCCAGTTTTCAATTTTTCTATCTAATTATTTTGTCTGTTTTTATTTTGGGATTTTAAAAAATTAAAAAACGACACCACCACCACCACTACCCATCTTCCCAGGATCCCAGACAGCCTGAACAGGAGGATAATCAAGGTGCCAATTCTGAGAATGGCAAATTACAAGCTTTAAGAATCAATTCCCTTTGACCCTACAATCGTAATTCTAGGAATTTATCCTAAAGATAATATACTTAGGAAAGTGAAAAAAATGTGTGTATAAAACTGTTCTGGACTAGCCTGGGGTGCCATTTTTAACTCCCACTTTTAGTATGTTATCCCAAACACTATCTTAAGTTGTGAATTGTCCTGTCCTGCTAAATTTGAATAATCAACTAATATATGACTGATAAAATTTAAAGATACATACCTTCAAATGTTGGTCCATAAATTGACTCTCCACCATCTCCTTTTCCAGCCACTATATCTGCAAAATAACAATAAGTAAATATTATAATTATGAAACTAAAAAGGAAAGCACAACATTGGCAGGGTAAATAATGCTTTAAATTATGATTCCCCTTTACAAATGACTATCATAAGTTTCATACCATGAAAATATTACTATAATGCATTTGATAAACAATTTTACATTCAAGACACTATTTTTTCCTAATAATTCTTGGAGGTAGGTTAAATTACAATGTAAACTTTGAAATGATGAAGTATTAAATTATAATTGTGATAATGATTTTTTAAAATGTGTTCATATAAATTTTGCTTACTTCACAAGTTATCACATAGTCCATCTTTTAAGAAAAATGGAAAGATTAAACTGAGAGGATAAAATAGAAACAGTAAGATATTTGTAAAGCAAGAATAAAAATAGGTGCTTTAAAAAGAATTATTGTTCAAATTTTCATTCCTTGGAACCCTATAGTGATAACTCATTATCTGGTATTTTGGAAATGGAGTTCATTTGTAATATAATGATTTTTTTAAGTAAAAGATATATTTTTTAATATCAATGCAGCTGTAAAATATAATTTTTTACTTTTTTTATATTTTTGTTAATCCTCACCTGAGGATATTTTTTCCCATTGCTTTTCAGAGAGTGGGAGGGAGGGAGGAGGGGAGAGAGAAAGCAGGAGAGGGGGGAGGGCACTCTCTCATTAGTCTGTTGTGAGAGACACATCCACTGGTTGCCTTCTGCAAGCACATGACCCAACAGGGGGCGGGGAGCAAATCGCAACCCAGGCACATGCCCTTGACCTGGAATCAAACCCCCGACCCTTCAGTGCACAAGCCAATGCTCTAACCATTGAGCCCACCAGCCAGGGCTAATTCTTTATAGTTTTAATAGAGGAAGGGACACCCAAAGTCCTAGAACCCACAGAAGTGGGGCCTAGAACCCTGGGCCCCTACAAAGTAGAAAGAGAAGAATCAACAGTGAGCTGGATGTGGACCATCACACTGAAGCAGGGGTCCTCAAACTTTTTAAAAAGGGGACCAGTTCACTGTCCCTCAGACTGTTGGAGGGCCAGACTATAGTTTAAAAAAAAACGATGAACAAA